CGTGCCTTATTGAACGAGTCTATCCACACGCCAGCAGAGGGCCCAGCTTTGTTCCTTCAGCTTATTTCACTTATACGCGTGATTTACCAGCGCTTCACCTTAAAATCATCGCAGCCCCTCAAGTGGCCTAGTTAGTGTATTTTATTTTTTTGAATAATTATTTTGTTCCCTTTCTTGGCTCTTGGCTGGGCTGTCAGGTTCCATGCCAGGACCGCGGTGTGCAACGTCTTCTTTCCTCAGTGCTAGGACGGTCCCCTGCTCTTTCTGCAGGTAGAAACTGGAACGGTGCATGCAAACACACGCATTTTTTTCCACGCTAGCTGAGGGCCCAGATTTGTTCACCTTGCTCATCTCTCATGTGTGAATACTTAATGTAATGCCTAGCAAGCTCTTTAGCGTTCCTTTCACAAGAAGGCACGTCCTGTTATCTGCTGAGGGTGAACAGCACTTGGATAATAGTTGAGTTTTAATTGGAGTGCACGTGGTTCAGTGTCTTTTAGAGTCACAAGAGATGGGCAACCAAAACTGAAAAAAGAAAAAATCCATACAATGCTACCAGCAAGACATGGCATGGCTGGAAAAACATCTTCAGTCAAAGTGTTTAGTGTCTCGGTAGTCTTGAGGTTCCTTCTGGCAGACTCTCATGCTGTCGGACAAGAGCTCATGAGGAGTGAATTCTTAAGTGGTTTGTTCATTCCAAGGGACAGATAAAAACTAGTTGCCCGCATTGCAAGCAAACTATTTTTCCTTTCAATCTTACAGAAGGCCCTCCCTGGTGCATCTCGTTAGTGTTTTTTCAATCCAAGACCAATTCCGGCACCACCCCAAGGGTGGTACGACTTTCTCAAGCATGATCGGGCTATGCATGCTTGGGAAGTAAACTAAAACGTAAACTTTAATGTGCATCATAAGAGAGCAATATAGTCTATAGTTTAGGTCATCTAAATATTTTGTCATTTATAGTGCTGTAGTTTTTAGTTTTTTACGCAGTGCCCTATTGAAAACCACATTATGGGACATAGGCCATCTGTACAGAGAACTTTCTTCTTATTATCAATTACAATCTGTTCTGTTTAAGTGGGTTTTAAAGTAGTGCAGTTAGGCCGTGCAATTTTTTTAGCTTTGACAGATGTTTATCAGTAGAAACATTTTCCCGCCTCTACTTACATACAATGATACTTTGTTTATGAAAAGTACCTTGGAAAAGTATGGCTGAATTAGTGCATTGTACCGTACACTAATGCACATTATTCATTCATATAGCTTTATAGACAGTAGCAGTGTCGAGCAATAAAGTTCCACATTTCATACAACTGAATTTTTCCCAGATGAGAAACAAAACAAGCGAACATTACACAGGCAATTTGTAGTTCAAATTGTTTTGATGACACTGCTAATTGTACAACAACAATCTGTCAAAGCACTTTTGACCATAACAAAAATTTCATTCAGTGGGTTATTTGCAGGTGAAACAAACATTTTGCCAGTTTGCTATGAACTCATTGACGTGTATTCGTTTTCTGTTACTTCCTTGATACTATCGACACAAAGTATGCGTCAAGCAAAATTTCAGTTGATGAAAGTGAAGAACAACCACAGAAGTTCAAGAGCAAATATTTCTTGGAGGGGACCAATTGACAGAAGAACGTGCAAGAAATGCTAAAGATGCAAGGGGCGATGGCGATTCTTCATGTGATAGGTTGGAGGGTGTCATCAGCAAGACTGAAGACTGGCATGCAATCCGTTTAGCCTATCAGGTAAGAACCTCCGCCTCGGAATTATGTCCAAAGAGCAGGTTTATGTGCTTGAAACATCCTAAAGATTAAGGCCCAGTGATATAATGATGACAAGCACCTGATCACTGACTGCTGGTACGAGATACTGCAGCACTGAATATGACGTAAGTGTCACACATTCTTTGTTCGAGTATTAAAACAGGAAAAGTAAATCAACGGACAATTGACAGGCCATTGCAGCAACTTTGTGTTAGGCATGCCCTTAGTGCATTACCTCCTCGTAATTTTCATCTTCAATGTTAGTTCTAGGTTCTTGTTGTTTTCTTGTTCTTTGTAAATGCCTCCTCTTCACTCTCAAAAGGCTTTGGTCTCCTCTCTGCCCTGCGGTCTATGTGGTTACAGCCATGTTTCCATTTTCCATGTGATCACATCCTTCCAGAGTTCCAGTTTAATGATTCATCAAAAAGCAGATCAAAGAGTAAGACAACTACTCGGAGTCTGACTGACTCAGTAATTGTTTTGAAGAGAAAGTAAAAGTTTCCTGAAAAAAGAAACACTTCATCCCATTGACACTGTAATAAAATGCATGCTGTGTACAGCTCTAAACATTGTACTCTGAGATTGCACCAAAATCAACTGTACGAAGATATTAAAGGCAGATACCAAGCAGCCATGGAAAATGTAATTACTTTCACGCAATTTTTATATCTTCTTAAACGGACAACAAATTCAACATGAATATGGGTGAACTGAATTAACTGTCTGTTGTAGAAGGTTCTGCTAAAGTTACACATTTTTCCTGTGCTGAATAAGAACTGTACTGAGCCATATCTTGGTCTGCTACATAAAAACTATACATATTTATACTGATAAAAATCATCATTGAATTTTTTGTGTAAAATCCCTGAAAGAGTTCTCCTCACTGGGACAATATCAATATGCAAAAGGTTTTCAAAGGCTTTGGTACACGGGTGTAAGGCTAAGATGTGCAGGCTGCCTGTCTCTCCTTGCAATTTTTTACATTTTGAGTATTAACACAATTTATATATGTTACTCACCGGCTGGGAGGTCCGTATTGGGAGAAACTGTGCCCAAGGTCTTGAGTACGGCCTCAGACGGTACTCAGACTGAGGGCACAGTTTCTCCCAATACAGACCAACCAAGGCCGGTGAATAACATTTTTATTTTTTTCCTACTGAGATTTTAAAGTTTCACGGAAATTTTACTTCAGCCTCCAACCTATGTGTGTTGAAGAAGGGCGCATTCGTGTTGATGTTATTCAAAGCGCGCGATCGATTGCAAACAAAAACAAAACATTACAACATGATTTTTAATTTGTCATTTATTTTATTTCAATTAAGCTCTCTTTCGAATAAAGAAAGGTTATCGTGTCTCGGTAGACAATTCATAATCTGAGTGTCAAACAAGGATAAAAGAATTGACGAACTTAAAAGCCACAGGAAAGAAAATACAGCAAAGATAATTGAATCGAGCAGGATAATTATAAAAACTGCATAAAGGATTTATAAAAAGAGCCAATTACACTTACCAATCTTATGGTTTTGAAGTGAATTTGAATAAAGAAGGCCATGTGGGTAACTAAACAATTATGAGTCTAACAAGGTGGTAAGTTAGTAGTGGTGAGTTAAGGGTGGTGAGTTAACTCGTGTAAGTTGCGAGATCTTGAATTTTTCAAATCTTGCCGGCAAGATCTTGAATTTTCCAAATCTTGCCAACAAGATCGTGAATTTTCCAAGTCTTGCCTGCAAGATCTTGAATTTTCCAAATCTTGCCGGCAAAATTTGGAATTTTCCAAATGTTGCCTACCAGCAAGTTATGGAAGTTTCCAAATCTTGCAATTTTCTCATTTGCTGTACACGTGGCAAATTGTGAATCCAGACGGGTATAACTTCTATTTTTTCTGATTGCGTCGACATGAACAACGGTAAACGTACCTACGCCCAGGCGGTGCTACATGGTGTTAGAGGTGAGTAACACCCTTTTCTTTTGTACACAATGTTGTAATGCTTACAGGGAAGGCTGAATAACCAAAGTGACATCCAAACCACGAAGAAGAGGTAACACATATTGAAGTCCCAGCGAAATGTAGCAGAATCGTTTTGCAGTCGAGACAAAGACATGCAGTCTTCCAAATTTATTTAATAACTGCATAAAAATATAACTTTTTATGACGAATTGGCAACCAAATCAACAAATTCTCGGCTTGTTACACATTTTGTGTTGCATGGTAGTAACGTTATTTTCATTCTTACAGGGGATCATGTTACAGGTAAAAAAAAATTAGCATTCACTGAAATCTCCACGCTTACACATAACAAGCGATACGATACCTATTGGTATCCTATTTTTAAATAGGACACGGAAAAAAATATATCTTCTTTGCAGTTGTGTGTCACCTGAATATTTAGACATGATATGATGATGATAGGTGGTTTAATAGCCTTGAAAGGGTAATTACCGTTCTAAGACGACACCCAAATGATACCCTGTGATGGCAATAGCTCATTGCCTCATTAATACATCGCTTTTTCAATACTGTTTCCCTTTTATAACAAGATACAACCATACAGTTTTTTGCTGCTTGTAAACTCAAAACTTTGCTATGTGACTCCCGCCCCCACAGAAGATTACTCTTCATGCTATCACATACATGAATTAACCCTCGGATGTGGATGCAACCGGCCCCACGGTTTTCTTAATTTTCCCAAAAAAGTTTCCTGTTTATTTTAGATGTAGTCTGTTTATCTTTGAGATGCATTATATAGGAGATAGATATAGGATATGATATAGATATAGGAGCCCAAAATGCGGCGTGGCTTACTAGTCGATATGAGGTACGAAAGAATTATGCACTTATCAGCGACCATCCGGGGGGGGGGGGTGAACTCGGGGGAACCCCCGGTCATTTGCACAACGACCTTTAAAAATATCCCCTATCCAAAACCAAGATTCTTTAACAAAAAGCTTCTAACGCCCCTCCACTGGGGGCAAAGAAGTGTGCTCTGCCAGGTCAAAAGGTGCTACATTTCAAAAGAGTTCTATAGAAGAAATCGTAGTTTTCTTCCGAGCAAAATAGTCGCTATGTAAGGGAAGGATAGCCAGCTAAAAGGAACAGAATACAAGTAAAAATGAATAAAGTCACTTACCGTCTTGTTGGTCGCTATTTTGCCAGAACGTGTTCACCAACATAACCAGTCCTTTCGCAGACGGGAACGGCACATTGTTTCCAGCTTCATTTGCAAAATGGCAGCAGCGGAGCTACAAATCCGGTGGGTCTTCTTCCCCCGGGAATCCTGCTACGAAAGTGCAAAAGCAATCCAATCCCCACATCCCGCGCTTAAAATTAACGAACAAACTGATAACTCCATTGCCAAGCCCGCGTCTGTTCCCGAGGTAACCCCCCCTCCCCCTGAAAACACTAAAAAATGTTAAGCCTGCCTGGGAACCTAAACAGGCCCCCAGCAGCGTCATTTCCATATCTGTCCTATAATATTAATAAAATCTGGAGAATTATATCCATTAACTGGGCGATTAGAAAGCCATCAGGAAATTGGACTTTCAATCCGCTGGCCCAGGTTCAGATTCCGCGATAACGGCTAGCTGAAAATGTTCTCGGGAGACACGTCGCCCCGAGTTTAAATCCTCAGTAACACCTGCAAATAGATAGCCAAATGGTTTGCCTCCTACCTGTTTGGATTCTTGGCCCTGTTATGTTTAGTTTGAAGGCTTTGTTTGTAGTATTATCCACAAGAATCTCCTCGAGGGGAGAGGGTAATTGATTTTTTATATACAGTATTTATTATTAGTATTATTTTATTTTCATATTCGAATTGAGACAACTGTTTGACCAAGGTTTCTTCTTGCGGGTGCTTAATGGTCCTATAACGAGGCATTTGAGAGGCATTAAGGCCAGTGGAGTCAATTTGAACACCTCGAACTCAAACGTCGAAATGCCTGGGTGAGTTTCCGGGGGTGTTGAAGGTTCAAACTGATCGGTACATTTTCGTTTGTCCTCAGGCATGGCAATCCTCTAGTAGAGTGCTGGGAATGTGCAAAAGAATTATCAATCCAATCCTACTTTGAAAATGGCGCCCAACAAAGGATTGATGACTTCATAGCCAACTGGTGCACGGCAAGAATTTCTGTTGCTCGTGATGGTCACTGCATTTGTTCCTCTTGGATCCAGGTATTAATATGTTAGGCCAGCAGATCAGGAGCTTGTAAAATTAAAGTTTATCCAGTCCAAAACTAACGTCGTCCTCTTTTATTCCACTTCTAACAGCTTATCTTAAAATTACACCAGAAAGATTTTGGGGCATTCGGATTGTTTTATCGTAAACCTAGGCCTACCATTACAATAGACCACCTGCAGAATACGTTCTTGTAGTCATGCTCCTGGCATCTATTTATTTCCCAGCATATTATTCCAAACATGTCAAGTGCAACATTCGTAAAGAAATTCCTTATTCAAATTTTCACCTTAGCTTTAGAAAACACAACATTCAACAATCAAAATCAGGCATTTTCCGGACACTGTGTAAACTTGTTGCAAGATTTTAAGGGTTCAGATTTCCGATCTCACATAGTTGAAAGAGTTCTGATACACTCTCTCTCTTTTAAAGTGCCTTGCCGACCATGGAGAGTTAGTAGAGGGAGGTGTGGTTAGACTCATAGACGTGCTGACCACTGAGATCGGAAACCACCACGACCACTATAAAAGTTACATCACAGGCGACTGGAAACAAGATCTTATCGACTTCAAGTTAAACCAAAAATTTGACTCCACTATAGTTGATCTTCTTCTGTACACTCTGGCTAACTCTACGTCAACTTCCTGCTATGTTGTTGATACCGTTGGTGCCAATGAAGATGTTCAAATAAAAGCAGCTCATCCAACCCGACCAAGTGCTGTTGCTGTAAGGGAAATTTTTATTTCAAAGATAGGCCAACACTATGATCCGATTGTTGACGACAAATTCAGGCTTTTCTCGTCTCGAAAAAATGTCGGCAGCCATGACAGGGAAGCAGCCCTGCAATACCCGCAACCGGTAACGCCATTGCACATGGCAAAAGGCAGTTCTTATTCACCAGCAAATCTGGCGATATTGGAGAAACAAGTTTCCAATCGAGCGTACAAAGTCCACCTTGTCAAATGGAGAACAGCTGCGGAAAGGTACGAAGCCAAGAGACTACAGCAAAGCACCTAACTGAGAGGGAAGACAAACAGCAGCGCCAGATGAAAAGGATAAAGTACTCTGTATGGGATGGAGTACTCGTAAAGAATGTACATGCCCTACCCTACGATATTGATGGAAATTGCATATATCAGTTGCCATATTCGAAGAATGATAGGCTTGCAAGTTCAAGGGATGGCAGACCATGGCGAATCTAAAGCAACCTACATATGTATATCATGTCAGCCCTTCCTTATGAGATCTGTAAAAATACAGAATAAGTGTGAGAAGGCTCAAGCTATGTTTGAAGAAACACAAAAGTGTTCCAATACATCATCTTGGTCTGACCCCATTATTGAAGCCACCCCACAAACAGGGAGCTTCGCTTCCACTCAAATGCCTGATGAACCTGACACAAAATTTGAGTTGCCCTCAATTTCAAATTTAAAAGTAGGGATTTTTACAAAAGGATTACAACAACTGTTGGAAGACCAAACACCCACAAAAAACGACTCAACTCAACACCAGTGAAACATGGCTATACACTTGAAAGACATCCCATGAAAAAAAACAAAAAAGGAGTAAGCAAACAAAAGACCCACCAAGAGAACTGAAAATTAGTGTGAGAGACGAAGCTACTGAAGATCTATCCTTTGAGCAATCACCAGAAATTAAATAATTTAAGGAAATGGTTTCTGCCTACAAAAAGACACATTGCCCTCTAGTGATAGTAAAGAAGAATTGGAAAGTCATTTTAAACTGTTAGACAATTCAGAAGATTTATTTTTCCAAAAACTTGATGAGCCCACTGAAAATGAAAAGCAAACGATGTGTACCAAATCTTACATGTCTGGTTTGTTTGACCAAACATACGATGATCAAATGGTAAAAACAACAGAATTATAGGAGTACAGAGAATTTGACAGTTCACTCACACCAAATGAAGCAAGTCAGGCGTTTCATTTTGAAGAAGGGACTTCAAGAGCCCCTGATTATTTCCTGTGATCCATACACTGGCTGTGCTTATTTGACTGAGGGGACCATCGCCTCCAGGTGGCACTCAGAGAAAAAATCCCTTTTGTACCCTGCCATGTGATTCCTAAATGGTTGCCACCCAATGGATCATTTAAAAATGTCAATGCAGATCTTACAATATTACAGTCTAAGGAAGTCATACTTTCAGAGCATTTAGCACTAACAGTCCTCAACGTCAAGCAAGTTCAGTCATAAATACATAACTCCCAAACAAAAATCCTGGGGTAACCTTATAATTTGACAATCTGAAGCAAAATCCTCATTCTGCTTTAATGGTAATTTGCCACTGAATTGTCCTGAATGGGTTTTGATGTCCTAGCTCATGAGTTTAAAACACCGTTAACAATTTCACTACTAAGCGTCTTGAACAGGGTGTCTTCAAATGTCTCTGTTAATAATGCATTTCATTGACTCCAAGACACAAGACAATACTGTAGCTTGTGGAAGGGCACTTTGAATAGCCCATTTAGTTAACTTTGGTAACAATAAAACGCACAAAGCTGCATAGAGCCAGACGTGCTTTACACAAAAATAATAATTTTACAAAACTGTTTTCCTTCGGGAATGAGTTAGAAAATTACAGGAGTATTCCCTACACAGGGAAATGCATTAAAACAAAAAGACATTAACACTCAGCTCTTTTCCACCCTGCCGCTAAACAAACTTTGAAAGGATTGATATGATGAACCATCAACAATGAAGACCTGAGATGACACGTACTCAAAGCCTGGTATGTCCTTAGATGAACCTCCTACTGCTGAGTCGAGACACCATAAGATGACATTATTCTTTCTGATAGAAATTAAACTACTTTTTTACTTGAATTCCCACCAAAATGACCCGTTTTATTTCCCTTTAACAAATAGATGACAATTTTCCATGGTCCTCACTCCTGTTGGTTCCACTGCAAAGATTTCAATATTTTTGAAGTCATTTCTATGGTCTATAAGGGTGTACACCATGGGACATTGTCGTATTGACAGTTTTGAACGACCATTTCCGGCAACGTTTCTTGGAAAATCGCGCGCGAGGAAAGAGAAAAACAACTTGCCCCATCAAATGTTGTGTCGATAGCTATGGTCTATGACAGTAAAGAGTGCCAAAACAAAACATACGAAAATTACATACACGTCAATCACATATACGTTTGTTTCCCATTGCCAGGGCCCAGCAGCACGATACGAACAAAACCTTAAATTGACAAATGAGGTGGAGGAAAGCGAACGGACCGTGAAGAGTCAGAAAAGACAGATTGAGGCTTTGCAAAGTCAACTGGGAGAGATAAATGCACCAAAGCGTTTTACTTTGACAAACATTAAGGTTGATACAAATTTTCCTTCTAGCCAGGATCATTATAAAGAAATATGATAAGGTGCCTACGGTTTTTACGTCCTTATCCGAGAGGACCAAAAGTCTAACCATTGTGTAAAAAAAAATATGAAATACAAGCTTGAGCTTACAACAGGTAGTCACGCTTACATCGATCATGTCTTCGTAAATATTAGGGAGTTTGAGATGCCACAACAACTGAAAGCTACGAAAATGTCACATGAAAAAAGAATTCACATTTTTTGTCTCTATCGTGATTATTCCAACTCGCTTACTTTCCTAAAAGCAAGTGAACTCTTTTGGAGCTGAATTCCTATCAACCATATCCAAGTTCATTAAGATAGAGAAAATTTGTCACTCATTGTGTGTTTACGTCCTTCACAAAACGTGAAACTAGGCATTTTAACGTGGTAGTCCTGCAGTGACAAAGTGTGATGCACGGGCAAAGTTGTTGTTTTGCCTTGTCAAGCTATGTCTTTTTTTGATTTCTTGTCCGGCGCTGCCGCATCTTAAACTTCCTATTATTTACAACACATTGTGATCCGTCAGAAACAGAATTTTCTCTTGCTCACGCTGATAGCATCCAAAACATTTTTCGACTCATCGGTAGTTCCTTTGTCTGATTAGGAAAGCTTGGTGAATAAACCGCGCAACTGTGGCAAGATAATAGCCATTGTGAACGAACTTACGAAAATCTATTCGCCGATTGGGCACAAAAATACAATGCATTTTTTGTACCCAGTCAGGAGCCAGTATTCGCTTGACTGTTTGCAAATGGTCCGGTGAGAGTCGGTACCCAGGGGCTCTTCCGCCAGTGTTTGAAAACTTTCGCCGCGTCATTTCTCCTGGCCCAACTGACTGCCCCTGGGTTCCCTGAGGATGATAAACAATAAAACAACAAACTTCTTCACTTTTCACAGTACTTATATCATTTTCGTCCAGCATGAAATCGCCTACAAAAATCCATTTGAACGCGGCAATTGATCATACTCATATTACAAATGTCACCGCTTTCCCAAAAATTAGCTTTCCTCCAGGTAAAACGCATTTGTCAGGATTCTGGATTTGTTACACCTATGTCTTTTGGTGTTAAGCTTTCCTTGCCACTCAGATGTTTCTGTCACTGTTACGGATCCCACGCAAAACTATCACCTGCCTTTATTTTTGGAACTGCGTTTGCATGCTCAGAAACCATACATTGCATAATAAGTGTCGAATCATGAAAGGTCGAATCATGACCCTTGGATGATGTCTGAAAATCTGCGTTTATGCATAGCCATTAAATAAGCTGTAATGTTTGGAGAGGTTATTTTTAATTAGTCTTTTTCTGTGTTTAAAATCCCATGAATTTCATGACACCGCTCCTCAGTTAATTTTTCTTTTCAGGGAAGAGGGAACCTGATCTTATATTACTTAAATGCCTGGCTGACAAACCTTTCAACCGAATTAACCTTTAAAAGCTCTTTAAGCCACTTTTTGATACATTACTTGCCGAGTCCAAATTCAGGTTCCACAAAATTCTTGTTAGTTGAATCCTGCACTCCATCGCATTCAGCTGCGAAGTATTATTTGTTTTCCTTACCGCTAGATATAGGCCTGAGAGAGGTACAGTACTTTCCGGCGGTTAGGGCAGGACATTTTGATCAAATTCTGCGCAAGTTTCTAAAAGGCAGGCAGAAATTATAGTCTATTCAAGACCCTTCCCGACAGTCAGGCAGGTAGCCTCAGCGAACATATCAATTTAATTTACCCTAATCATTTTAGGCAATGAAACATCCAAACAAGAATCGAACGACGATGAAGACGACATCCCCCCCAGCAGAAGGAATCGGGTAGCCCTGACAAAGCGTCCGAAGCAACACAGTACAAAGAATATATCTCAAAGCGAAATCAGAACATTTTACCTTTTCAAGAGAGAAATTTGAAAGAAAAAAGTGAGGCAAATACAATCCACTGCACCTGTCGGCCAAGGCAATGAATTGGTATTGAACAAACCAGAAAGTGGCAGTTCAAAACCCAGGGCATGCAAGTGCAAAGATGTTGCTGGCCCACAAAGCGAGAAACTGGAGAAGCCTGACACCAGCAGCCTCAAAATATCACTGACAACGAGGACGTCTATAACCATGACTTCACTGGAATTTGGGAGAATGACGCCTTGGACTACCTTACAGACACGAGTCAAATTGCTGAGGTACTAGAGTTAGCATTTAATTAAAAAGAAAGTATTTCAAGAATTATTCAGTATGAGGGACAGTGATATCGCGCGAGGAAAGAGAAAAAGAAACTTGCCCCATCAAATGTTGTGTCCATAGCTATGGTCTATGACAGTATAGAGTGCCAAAACAAAACATACGAAAGTTACATATACGTTTGTTTCCCATTGCCAGAGCCCAACAGCACGATACGAACAAAACCTTAAATTGACAAATGAGGTGGAGGAAAGCGAACGGACCGTGAAGAGTCAGAAAAGACAGATTGAGGCTTTGCAAAGTCAACTGGGAGAGATAAATGCACCAAAGCGTTTTACTTTGACAAACATTAAGGTTGGTACAAGTTTACTGAAATGGAAATGCACGTTTTCTTTCAAGTGAATTTCTATATTTTCTAGCCAGGATCATTATAAAGAAATATGATAAGGTGCCTACGGTTTTTTGGTCCTTATCCAAGAGGACCAAAAGTCTAACCATTATGTCAAAAAAATATAAAATACAAGCTTGAGCTTACAACAGGTATTCACGCTTACATCGATCATGTCTTCGTAAATATTAGGGAGTTTGAGATGCCACAACAACTGACAGCCACGAAAATGTCACATGAAAAAAGAATTCACATTTTTTTAGTCTCTATCGTGATT